AATAATAAAGTCATCTGGAATGGCAAAGAAATCGATTTTGCAGGACTCCCAGAGTTCATCAAGAGTCTTTGGATTCATCTTCAATGCCTCCTCCATCTTATCCAAGACATGCTCAATAATGTTCACACTGGTATCTGGGCTGGCCAATCTTTGAACTTTTTTGCTTTCAGGAGCTTTGTTGTGGAGGCTGAAGTATGAGAAGGAGCGCTATCCTGCTGAAGAACTTGCCCTCTCCTGTGGTTTGTAATGTAATGGGCAGCACAAATGTCTCGATACCTCAGGCTGTTGATGTTGCAGACTTCTCGCACACCCCTGTACATAATGTAACCCCAAACCATGATTTGTCTTCACCAGACTTGACTGGTTTCTGTGAGAGTCTTGCGTCCATGCAGGCTCCAGTAGGTCTTCTACAGTGTTTGTGATGATTGGGATGCAGATCAACAGATGATTCATCAGAAAAATCCACCTTCTGCCACTTTTCCCAATGATCAACTAGAAGTCAAGTTGCTCTAAAAACGACAAGACTTTTGTCAGGTAGTGTATGTGTTTCTATACTGTATCCAAAAGTGCAGTGCATCTGAGTAATTTGAGCGACTGTTTCCACTGCCAAATATCAAAGAGGTATTTAAGTAGTACCTAGAGTGCATACTATCCAGTATTCACTAAGTAGTATGCAAGTATTCCATTCCGAACACAGCCATAGTCATGGCACGGTACCAGGTAGCCCCGCCCCCCCTCAGTGCTCAGGTAACGATTGGTTACAATTCAGCCAATGGAAAAAAGTGCAATCATATTGAGGAAATGTATCGTGTTCACAACTTAAATATCATGGTTTTGGTTTTGTAAGCAAAGGCAAATGAACAGCACACATTTTAAGAGCCGTTTTCATGCTTTCACCAACTCTTTAGAAGCATGAAGAATGTGTACGAAAACGCAACAGTATTATTTTCTCTTTTTACAGTACATCAAACTCTTACAAAACCATAAACCAGCAATGAGAGCTAAAAAAAACAAACAAAAATAAAACATGCTTTTATCAAACATTTAGATATACACTTACTTCAGAACACTAACAGCAACTATCTTTTTTCAGTTTTCTTTTTTTTTTTTTTTGCACCACTGACACAGATACATAGAAAAGTTCTATCCACATTTCTGCTCAAAACTAGAACTTTTGAAATTACAAGAAACATTGCACGAGCCTAAGGCCAGGAATATACTTTTGTTCCAGTAGGTAAATGCAAATGCTTCCCGACGTTTTCAAGAAGAATCTTTTCAGTGTTTGTTAGTTTAAAAAATACCTTCTATTATATCCCATATTAGAAAGAACGTCACAGGCTTTGAATGACATTGAGCTGAGCAAATCACAGTTTTGATGTCTTGAGTGAACTGTCCCTTTAAATATCTGCTATGGCGGTAACAAACCTCAAGGGAGTGCTATTCTTATTTTAATGTGTTGCCTTCATACTATGGGTCAGCGTCACTTCGCATTTGCACGTTTTTAAACCAAACCATCATCCATCAATAAATACAATTTAATTGTTTTAACATAATACATTTGAAGCCAAATGTTAAAATGAAACACCTGGGTGTGCTAAAAAATGTGGTAACACTTTATAATAACTACATACTAGGAATCATTTACTAAGCATTAGCATCTAGTGAATTCATCATTTGTCAAGCATTACCTCTACATTAATAAGCTTTAGTAAGCAGTTTATAACTGCAGCTACAAATGCTGTAATCTTGACTTATTAGCACCTATATAGTGTACTTAATAATTGTACTTTCATACTTAGTTAATGATTTATTTTTCATTAATAAATTAAGTATCGCTCTATTTACAAACCATTTGTATTTAAGAGTAGTTGAGGGTTTTTAGGATCATTCAGAATGAGTTAGTAAATGATTAATACACTATTGAAATCAATGTTTATATGTCTTATTATTCAGACATATACTTAACTAATATGTTAATAAATGCTTTATTAATTCAACTTCATGCAGTTTTGTGACCTGATCTAAAGTAATGATTATTCATGCTTTATAAATGCCTTATAAATGACAAATAAAGGCTCAGAATCAAATGAACAATAATCTTTGCAATCTTTTTTAAAAAGTAAAATGACTGTAAAGTTTAAACATTGCAAAATAACAGGAGTGTCAAAATACGACATAAAACTGGATAAAACAACAACAATATAATAATTTAACAATATAATAAGATGCAATGTTTAAACTCTAGAGTGATTTTATTTTAGATCAGGTTGCAAAGATTTATTTTTCATTTGAAGTACAGTTTTATTTGTGTATCTTTAAATGAATAGGAATGAATAATGTCTTTTTTCCTGTTTAGAATTTAACTGAGCCTTTATTTGACATTTATAAACAATTTGCAAAGCATAAATAGTCCTCACTTTAGATTAGGTCACAAAACTACATGAAGTTGAGTTAATAAAGCATTTATTAGCATATATAGTATTATCGTAATATTACTATATAGTAATATAGTAATAGTAATATAGTAATAACGCATTCTGAATGATCCTAAAAACCCTCAACTACTCTTAAATACAAATGGTTTGTAAATAATGCGATACTTAATTTAGTAATGAAAAATAAATCATTATTAAAGTATGAAAATACAAATATTAAGCACATTTTAAACATGTTTGTAAGTCAAGAATAGAGCATTTGTAGCTGCAGTTATAAACTGCTTACTAACGCTTATTAATGTAGAGTTAATGCTTCATAGATAATGAATTCACGATATGCTAATGCTTAATAAATGATTTATAGTGTGTAGTTATTATAAAGTGTTACCAAAAAGGTTTTTGAATTAGTTTGGAGGATGGCATGTTTAGAGAGCTTGTGTTGTTTTTGTTTGTTTTAAAGCTGAAATAAACCATGTAAAAAGTTTAGGGTTAAGGCCTTATATGGCAATTCTCCATGTTTTATGCAAATGACTAAAGCTCAGGCTCATGTTTACATGATGACAGTGTACTAAAAATGGGTAATTTTTCATTTGCATTTGCACAAGCTTTCATAAACAGATGATTAAAGTACATAGGAATCTGCAAAAATAACTCAAAAAGCCAACACAATCTCACGGCCATTTGTAAATTTTTGATTCAGTGGCTAATCCGCATGAATTTATACAATCTCATTCATACAATTTAGTACAATTTTGCTCATCCCCCAATGATGGTTGAGTTAAGAGATGGGATTTAGTGCTATGCCTCCTTTTTAAAATCTTACATTTTCATACGACTGAACAAATTTGTATGAATTAAAAATAGTTGCGTTTCCTCATTAGATCAGGCTGAAAAGGCTGCATTCTGATGCCAGGCCAGTAGATGGCGACTTTAAAAAGAAACACCATATGGCTGCAATAAAGATTTTCTTTAGTCCACCACTGATATTTTAGTTGTCAAGTACTCACTCATGCCTATAGACCAAACACATAATGCATGTGTGCATCATTTCAGCCTGATCTCACGAGAAAATGTAAGTATTTTATGTTTGGCCAGTTTAGTGGCTAATTTGTATGAATTTGTACGAGTTCAGTCGTACAAAATTGTACGATTTTAAAAAGGAGGCGTGGCACCTAACCCCACCCCTAAACCCAACCGTCATTGGGGGATGAGCAAATCGTACTAAATTGTGCGAATTAGATCATACAAATTCATATGAATTAGCTACAAAATCAAAGTTACGAATTGCCGTGAGATTGTGTTGATTATTCCCATTTTCACAAAAATGCAATTTTGTTGATTACATTCACACAAAAATGGTATTACGAGAACATTTTTCAGTGACATTGAGCAGAGCAAGTCACAGTATTAGTCTCTGAGTGAACTATCCCTTTAAATATCTGCTATGGTGATAAAAAACCTCAAGGGGGCGATATTTTTTAGTTTTTCCTTCAAAACTACGGGTCAGGGTCACTAAAGGCTGATTTATACTTCTGCGTCAAGCGCACGTGTATACTACAGTGCAGCCTACGTGTGGGCACATAGCCCTCGCCGTCTACGTCGCTGACGTGCACCTCTCAAAAAATGTAACTACAAATCGCAACGACGCGTAGCGCAAGCTCTGTGATTGGTCGGCTTGGAAGTGCTGACAAGTGTGGGTGGGACTGAGAGCCGCGTGAGCCCGATGGAGCGACTACTTACAAGGAGCTCCGGATGGAGACTGTTGGTTTGTGTTTACATTACGATTAAAGTTGTTGCATTCCTGCCGGTTCCTGCCTCAAAATGAGCGAGTTTGAACCACTTGTTCATTAAGGAAGCGTTCCGAAAAAACAAAACACCAGCGAAAAAACTCGACGCAGAGGAACATAAACACCTATTCTCAGCTAACATTTCGGAATTGTTATAGCAAAGCAACAGAAATAGCGCACAGAAGTATGAATGCACAGCTATGCGCGTTGCATGCACTGTGGGTCACGCCGATCCCTGGACACAGAAGTATAAACCAGGCTTAAGCATTCAAGCTCGAGAACATTTTTTTTAAAGCAAACCATCATCCACCAATAAATGTGATACAATTTAAGGTAAATTTAAGGGGAAAAAAAATTATATTTATAACCTGGGTGTACTAAAAATAATTATACTTTTTGGGGGGCAGTATATTTAGAGAGCTTGTGTTGTTTTTGTTTATTTGTTTGTTTGTTTAAAAAGTGAAAATGGTTTAAAAAAATTAAGAATTATGGCCTTGTATGGAAATTCTGCATGTTTTATGCAAATGACTAAAGCTCAAGATCATGCTTACATGGCGACAGTATACTAAAAATGGGTGTTTTTCATTTGCATTTTTGAAAGATTTTATAAACAGATGATTAAAGTACACAAATCTGCGAAAATAACTGAAAAGGCCAACACAATCTCATGGCAATTCGTAACTTTTTAATTCAGTGACTAATTGGTATGAATTCGTACGATCTCATTCATACAATTTAGTACGGTTTGCTTATCCCCCAATGATGGTTGGGTTTAGGGATGCAGTTGGGTGCCACGCCTCCTTTTTAAAATCGTACATTTTTGAAGGACTGAACTCGTACAAATTCGTATGAAGTAGCCACTAAAGTAAAAGTACGTAAAATAGTTTAGTTTCCTCGTGATATCAGCCTGAAAAGGCTGCTATCTGCATGCCAAGCCAGTAGACGGCAGCGTGACTGCAAAAAGAAACACTATATGGCTGCACAAACGATTCTGTCGTCCACCAGTGATATTTTTGGTTGTCAAGTACTCACTCTTGCCTATAGACTAAACATACAATGCATGTGCGCATCATTCCCATTTTCACAAATTCGCATTTTTGTAGATTACATCAACACAAAAATTATATTATGAGATTTTTTTGTTATCGAAATTAGAAGCATTTGCAATGACGTACTCGCCTAAAGTATGCCTCCAACCTGAAGCTTATCATACGCTTTGAGTTTGCAGTTTTTGTTCTTTGCAAAGTTCAGTAAAAATACATATTTTTGGACCACCCCCTCCCTCCCCCGTTCAAAACGTTAAACAGGAAATCTGTCGAAATGAAACGTTGATGTGCAGAATTGAAAGCTGCTTTATACTCTCTTGCCTCTTGCTTGTTGAATCTAAACCGGAGTGGGCTCGGGGAAAGCGTCCAGTAAAGTAGTTTCTTTCGCGGTGTCCGCTAGCGAAACGTCAGGCAGATTGTGAGGCATCTCCTTTGGCTGCTCAGCTACATAACAGTTCCCATTGGCATTGTAGCCTGTATCCTGCGTGTTGTTGTTCAGATAGTTCTGAAACTCCATCTGGTTCAGCTCTCCTGATTGGCTGAGGAAGCTCCCTTTAGATTGGATGCTTTTCTCTGGCTCTGGAGTGCAGCAGCCAATCACGGCCAAGTGGTGATTAGCATATGGCTGCTCTGGCTGCTGGGAATAGTCCGCGTATTGGTCAGCGGTCACATTAAAGGGACCCTGAGACATGACCCTATTTGAGTCGTTAACCCTGTCTTGATAAGACGCAGTGTCGCCTATGTAGGGCTCACTGGATTGGTTGGAGGCCAAAAGTACGGGCGGGGTAACGTTCTCCATTGAGTAGTACTCTGCGGTGGAGTTGATGAAGTACGAGTTGCCGTTTGTTTGGTTGTCTGACGTGATCGTATTCTCAGAGTAACGCATCACAGAAGGGGGCGGAGCCACTTCGCTATTGGCCAATCCTGTTTCAAACTCCTTCACCTTATCTTCATCCTCATCATCATCTTCCTCCTCAGAGTCGCTATTGGCCAAACTCTGCGTGCTGGAATCGGATAAGCTGCACAAACTGCTGCTATCGTCTTTTTCATCTTCATCTTCATCATCATCATCATCTTCATCATCTTCATCATCCTCTTCATCTTCTTCATCTTCATCCTCCTCCTCTTCCTCTTCGTCCTCCAAGACCTCGTCCATGTCGTCTCCAGACTGCAGGTGCATGATGGTGGTCTGCGGGACTGTATCTGGGATTGCATACTCCAGTGCGTGCTGTCCCGTCGCCAGCGGGCTGCAGTGTCCATTGGGGTCGCTGTGAAATCCGTTTCCAGCCACAGCGCCGGAGTTCTGCTGTTCGCGGCTCTTCTCCAGCTCCAGCTTCATGATGGTGTGCAGGAAGTGAGTCCGCACTCGGATGGGATTAAATTCGATCCTGCCGGCTGCGTTGCTGCAGCCCTCTTTCGTGCAGCCGCAAGGGAAAGACATTCGGTCCACCTGTGGACATCCAAAAACACTTGAGCACAGGCCAGTTTGAGGATGGTTTGAATCACACACACAGCAAGGAACAGTGTTGGGTCTAATCAGTCATAAAAGTAAACTAGCTACTTAAAAATATAATAATAATAAATTTAAAAAAGTGTGAGAGTCAAATTATAGTTTATTGAATTTCTCTATGTAATGTAATGTTTATTTATATAGCACATTAATCATGTATGTCCATACACCAAAAGTACTTCATAATCATGCAAACAATTATTTAAATTTGGCAAACAATGTAAAAAAATAAATTAGGATTCATTTTTGGCAATTTTGCCTTTCATTTGATAGGACAACAATGTAATTTTTATAATTATGCACATTTCAGCAATGTTCATTTACTTAATAAATTTAAGGCAATAGATTTACTCACTTTATAAATGTAACTAATCTCTTTTTACAGTGTACATTGTTTAACTTTTCATTTTATTTAGTAATTAGTAATTAATATAAGAATAATAAATAAAACAATATAAACAAACAAATATATAAATAAATATACATATGTAAAAATATATAAATAATAAAAAAAAGAAAATATATAAAAAAATATATTAAAAAATATATAAGAAATACAAAATATATTTCTATATGTGTGTGTGTGTGTGTATATATATATATATATATATATATATATATATATATATATATATATATATATATATATATATAAAATACAAAATGAATACAACAAAACAGGGCGGCTAATAATTCAGGGGGGCTAATAATTCTGACTTCAACTATATTCATTTATTTTCTATTCGGCTTAGTCCCTTTATTAATCATGGGTCACCACAGCGGAATGAATCGCCAACTTATCTAGCATATGTTTTACACAGCAGATGCCATTCCAGCCACAACCCATCACTGGGAAACACCCATACACTCTTGAATTCACACACACATACACTATGGCCAATTTATCCTACTCAATTCACCTATATCACATGTCTTTGGATTGTGGGGGAAACCGGAGCACCCGGAGGAAACCCATACGAACATGGGAAGAACATGCAAACTCCACACAGAAATGCCAACTGGCCCAGCCAATTCTTGAACCGGTGACCTTCTTGCTGTGAGGCGATTGTGCTATCTACTGCGCCACTGTGTTGCTCTATATAGCTAAAAGGGATTTTTCAGGAGTTTTTGGGAATATTCAGTCAAGTAATTAGTAAATAAATAATTTTCAGAATATTTTAATGATGTAATTAAATACATTTTTGAAGTAACTTTCCCTATACTGAAGAAGTATAATCTAAATAAAGTTTCCCTCTCTACTGAAGACCTGATGTACCATGTGAAATATATCTGTCTGCTGTCTGACATCTAAATCAATTTAATCAGAGCGTACCGTTTCTCCATTAAACTTTATAACCAGACTTAATTACTCTTAATTACTTTTGCTTGTCTGCCATGTTAGATTTGCTTTGACAGGCTTGGCTTTACTGCAGTATGGAAACTCGTGAACACTAATCAGCTCATCGTGTGATTGCAGCGACTGGGTGAGTTTTACAACAACAACCTGTTGAGGTCATAGGTCACCTCAAAATAAATATAACTTAAAATTGATTAATGATCAATTAAACTGACTTTCACACTTTTTACTGTTACATGAAAAAATGTGATAAAACTACTTTATAACATTACACAATACTACAAAATCAATAACATTTATAAATGAATGAATTAATAATTCAATGCAAAATATTCAATTCAAACTTAAAATAAGTTAGCATAAAATAAATAATATATTATTAATTATATAATAATTGGTAGAACATTTATAATTACAATTAATTAATTAAAAATGTTTTTAATATTTATTATGTGCAATAAAATATTACAATATTTTGTATTGAATTATATTTTTTGAGGATTATTTTGGTTTCACATTGATGTCTACGCACTAAAAAACGTTGAGTTATTTATTTAACCCAATGGTTGAGTTAAACTTATTTGGTACTTGGTAATTGGGTTATTTTTAACCTTTATTAGGTTATTTATTAATAACTCAACCAGTTGGGTTAAATATTCGTTGCTTTGTTGGGTTATTTATAACCTTTATTTGGTTATTCATACTATAAAATTTTGAATTTCAACAGTCAACTGATTTAACTGACACAGAACAGCTGTATTAATATGCGTGCGTAATGTTGTTTTGGTGTTATAAAAGTTAAGCTCTTGTGCAATAATATTATTTTTGTTTTGTCAAATGAGCTCTCCATATCGTGTTTTTTATATCCGTTTTACCAGCACTCTTAATTATTGATGATACAAATGCGCACTTCATAGCCGATCTATATTAAATGGCTAAAACGCTTTCTCTACCTTACGTGTTCATCTCCACACCCAGATAGCAAAATGACCTAAAATCAAAGTTTCTTTTGATATCGAATCCACGTTGATCACCGACGTTGATTCAACTTCGTTTTGCTCATCGGGGTAACGTTGAAACGAAGTCAGGCACTCCATTCAAATCGAACCTGAAATCGACGCAATTGGTTACTTACCCAATGTTCAATCGATATTGAGTTTCAGTCAATCGAATTGACGTAATAGAATCCACATTCAACATATAATTGACCTAATTGGTTGATTTTAAGTCGATTGGAATAACATATAATCCACACATATTCAACATATAGTTTGTTTTTTTGCCGTCATTCTCACCATTATTACACAGTTGAGACACTTATTTATTTATTTACACAGCCATAATTATAAAACTAATAGTACCTTGTTAAAATAGTTGAGTTAAAAATACCCCAACATATAACACATCTATAGGATATTATAGCACCTTCCCAACTATGGGTTATTTTAATCCAATTCATTGGGTTATATAATTTATCCCAATGCATTGGGTTATTTTGATTAAATGTTATTTTTTCCATTCTGGTATTACTACTACTACTATTAGTTTTATAATTATGGGTGTGTACATAAATAAATAAGCATCTCAGCTGTGTCCTAATCATGAGAATGACGGCAAAAAACAAACAAACTATATGTTGAATATGTGTGGATTCTATGTTGTTCCACTCGACTTAAAATCAACATAGTTTCAACATTAGGTAGACAAACCAATTAGGTGGATTATATGTTGACAATGCGTGGATTCTATAACGTCGATTCGATTGACTGAAAATCAACATCGATTGAACATTGGGTAAGTAACCAATTGCGTCGATTTCAGGTTCAATTTGAATGGAGTGCCTGACGTCGTTTCAACATTACCCCGATGAGCAAAACGATGTTGAATCAACATCGGTGATCAACGTGGATTCGATATCAAAAGAGATGTTGATTTTAGGTTGAAATTATGTCATTTTGCTATCTGGGTGTGGAGATGAACACGTGAGGTAGAGAAAGCGTTTTAGCTATTTAATATAGATCGGCTATGAAGTGCGCATTTGTATCATCAATAATTAAGAGTGCTGGTGAAACGGATATAAAATACACGATATGGAGAGCTCATTTGATAAAACAAAAATAATATTATTGCACAAGAGCTTAACTTTTATAACACAAAAACAACATTACGCACACATATTAATACAGCTGTTCTGTGTTAAATAAATCAGTTGACTGTTGAAATTCAAAATTTTAACCCAACTGGTTGAGTTATACAAAGAGCTCAGAATGACCAAGAGGCGACACTCAATAGAACGTTCCATTGCAACAGCAGCACTGAGCAACAACCCTGGATTCCACCTTTTTGGAGTGAAAGTGATCAGCTGTCCATTGGATCTCATTACTGTCACGATGGCAAGCAGCTGCTTTGTTTTTTATTTATTTTTTTAAAAAGCGCATTAAAGCTGAGATACAACCTGAAAGACGACAATACAACACTTACTATCATAATCATCAGCACTTTTATTAGTTTATTTAACAGACTAATAATATGCTGTTGTTCTATTGGAGTTTTCATTCCAAAATGACCGCCGCACCCTCTAGTGGCTGTTTCCCAAATTACACAAGAGTGTCGCCTCTTGGTGATTCTATGCTCTTTGGTAATAATATAAATAACCAAATAAAGGTTCTAAATAACCCAACAAAGCACCAAATATTTAAACCAACTGGTTGAGTTATTAATAAATAACCAAATAAAGGGTAAAAATAACCCAACACAGCACCAAATATGTTTAACTTAACCATTGGGTTAAATAAATAACTCAACGTTTTTAATGTGTAGTATTAGTAATACCACAATGGAAAAAATAACATTTAATCAAAATAACCCATAGTTGGGAAGGTGCTATAATAACCTATAGTTGGGTTATATGTTGGGGTATTTTAACAAACTATTTTACCAGAGTAACTTTTGAGAATCTTTTATTAATAATAATAGGAGGATTATAATAATTCAGGAGGACTAATAATTCAGACTTCACCTGTGAGTGTGTGTGTGTGTACTCTTGTCCTCTCACCTGACACTTGATGCCGGCTAGGCTGCATGTGCAGGTTTCTGGGTCACAGAAGAGTCTACAGTCACAGCCACAGTCTTCTCTGGACACCCTGATGGCCCGCAGCTCGTGTTTCTCCTCCACATCGATCTTCTTGACTCCGGACGAGCGCAGCAGAGCACGTCGCTTCTTAGTGGTCAGTGGCTGGAGGAAGAAGTACTCGTCCACCTCTGTGTTATCAATGTCAAGGTCATCATCAGAGACGTCGTCCAGCGTCAGAGCATTCGCCTCCTCAGACTCCACTGAGCCGTTCTTCGTCAACTGAAAACCAGAACACTTCAAAACAATTCA